TCACTCGCGAACGACACATCACTACCCTCCAGAGTCAGACGGTTGTCACTGTTTTTATTCCGAATGATCACCGTATTGTTTGTTTTGACGCTGTTCCTTGCGGAAGTGCGGATGTTGGTTTGCAGAGAGAGAGTGTGTTTTGCCTGTATCGATAGAAATAAAAAGAGTTTTTGACCACGAAAGAGTCGTCCTGCATCGCACCATACATCGACAATACAAAAACACAACTCAGAGTCTTCGGGTGTTTGGAGGCACGACGCGACGTTGCACGGATTTGGGTTATACAATCACACTGTAACAATTGATATTGAGCATCTTCTAATTGTGATAACAGAGTTAAACGTCATTTTTGGCTCCCAGTGCGCTTCAGTTGTGTGTCTTCATGTGTGATGCGCTGTGTGGTTTGGCTTTATAAAATCGGTTCGAGCTCAGTAAGCGAACCAGAAGTAATACATGAGGCGCTCTGTCGATTTTTGAGAAAATTAAAGGCTTTTAAGTGCGCCTTATTGTGCGGAAAATACGGTAATTTAAAATTTGGGAGGGTTTCTTCATACTACAGCGCTAGTCAATTGACAACTAGCTTAAACCTAGCTCTTCTTTTATGTATCATTTCTTAACCTAAATTTTGATACTTAATAATAATGTAGTGTATATGTAATGACAGTAATGTATCTACAGCTTTCCTGTGTATTACATCATTATTGTTATTATGTCAAACTTCTAATCACTTAAATGTGTGTTATATGGACTTATTTATATGGTATTACTGCTAATTCTGAGGTACAATAGAGAGTTTGAGTCTGGGTTTAAAACATTTAAATTTGTAATCTTGTTAGGGCAAATCCCTGCTGATTTTTTGAACAGTTTTTACTTAGTTGTTTAACTGTTTCCTAAACTCTTTGTATTCAATCTTTAAGGCACGAAACTCTTTCTCCAACGAGGTGGTGGCCATCAAAAAGATGTCCTACAATGGCGACCAGACTACCGAAGTAAGAAATTCTCATACACACACACACACACACACACTCAAAGAGAACCCACAAGCAATACTCTGTCAACCACATCCGTACATTTTGCACGATTAATTTCATTTTCGATTTCTAATGCTGAAAACACATCTCTGAAAACTTGTCTTCCACCACTCACCTCCTCACACTTCACTCCAAAATTAGCAGTCACATATGAGACGTCTCATCTGTGTCTATGCTCGGCTACTCCCAAGACCAAAAATAATGTGAAAATTGCCGATTGCCTCTCTGAAACAAACCACAGAAAATGTTCTGGCATGGAGCATGGGTGTATTTCAGAAGCCGTCCTCTGTGATCACTGCTGAAATGGAGCCCACATTTCTTTGTAATTGACGGTCTGCGTGCTGATTCTTGTGTAACATTGTTAAACTGTCACTGCCATTGTGGTTTTTTTGTGTGTAGTATATGTCGTTGTAGTGCCAATAGAACACACTCCCCATGTGTCTCTCTGCTGTCTTTCTTCCCATGTTTCCTTGCAGAAGTGGCAGGACATCATCAAGGAGGTCAAGTTTTTGGTACAACTGCGACACCCAAATACTATCGAGTACAAAGGCTGCTACCTGAAAGACAACACTGCCTGGGTCAGTGAATCCTTCACTAACCCTTCTTCTTTCACAGTTCCCATTTCACACTTAGGTCTAGCACATTGTTTCCCAAAGAGTGGGTCGCGATTTTTTTGGGGTCATCTCGCAATCATGTTTCCCAGGAGTTTATGAATAATGTCTATTGACTTGGGTCGCAAAGGTTTATGACTTTTAAAATATGTGCTTTAACTTGTCAGTTTACATTACATACTTTTCTCGTACATTTCAATTCAATGATCTCAATGTGCTGTTTGTACATTACGCTCTGCTTGTATTTTTATTACAGCTAGTGATGGAGTACTGTCTTGGTTCCACATCAGATTTACTAGAGGGTAAGTGTCTTTGTCTCACTGTCAAATGTGGGCACATATACTTTTGAACGTGTATAATTATCAAATAGCTTTTTATTGTACGAGATGTTTATCTTATTCCAGAAGACTTAAGCAAAGATGACCACATGTTAAAACAAAACTTTTTTTTATATCATCATCACTTATACATAGCGTCTAATTATGGGACACTATGCCAGCAATTGAAGCTCAGATTTGGGATTTTTGTTTCATAGTAATTTTAACCAAACTCCTACACAAGCAGTACTTCAGAAACTGTCATTAACTAGAAGCATATCTATGAAGATTCTCAGTCATCCAGGTCATGGTCAAGTTTAAAAAGTTCTGTTAGGCAACTGGACGTGAATTTTCTAAAAGAAGACGTTTCACCTCTAATCCAAGAGGCTTCTTCAGTTCTAACTGGTGGTGGGGAGTACAGCAAATATACTCTAGGTGTGAAAGAATAAAGCTACTTCAGCTCCACCCTGTTAGGTGGGGCATTGGGGTCAACTGTGAAAGTGTAAACAGTCGTTAAGAGTCTGGTGGGTCGTTGTGGTCCCCATCAGAACGGTTTCGGTCACCTGCCTCAACAGGGTGGAGCTGAAGTAGCTTTATTCTTTCACACCTAGAGTATATATTTGCTGTACTCCCCACCACCAGTTAGAACTGAAGAAGTCTCTTGGATTAGAGGTGAAACGTCTTCTTTTAGAAAATTCACGTCCAGTTGCCTAACAGAACTTTTTAAATTAGAAGCATTGGGTTTTTTTTTTCGTAGATAGTGCAGTATTTCTCCTCCTAAAATGGTCGTGACATTTGATGATTTTTTTTTCACTCCACCTCCCAACTAGAAGAACTGCCTACTCTTGATGTGGGCACATTGGCTTCAGCATTACTGTATAAACAATACTAATTTGAGGTAGATAAAAGATCAGGCCCTCAACCTTTTTGATCACACTTTGGAGACTAAATATTTACCATCGTGTAAGTCATCTTATAGTCAGCACACAGATAAACATTTCTCCTGTGACAGACCACAGTCAACAGGAAGTCAGTACTGAGCTGTTGTTGTTAAAATCTGACTCATCATTCTACGTTGTACCCGAGTTACTTGTTCTTGCTTCTCCATTACCAAAAAGGTAGTTGGTGTGATGTTGCCTAGTAATCGGCTACAAATCATCACTCGGCTGCGTGAAAACACTTGCAAAAGTATTTTTTTAAGTCATCGGAGTACTGTACATGTTCCAATTTCTACGGTTCTAGTTAACAAGAAACCACTCCAAGAAGTTGAAATTGCTGCCATTACCCATGGTGCCTTGCTAGGACTTGCTTACCTACATTCCCATAATATGATTCACAGGTGAGTGGGGTTTGTGTTCTCACATATTTTGTTACCCTCATATGTTCTTGGGCGTTAAAATAAATGAAGTAGACTCGAGGAGTAGGTAAAAGATGAGAAACTACTGCAGTATTTTCGAATGAGTTTCCTGTTTCCTGTTCCCATGTCTGATTGTCCACACAGAGACGTGAAAGCTGGTAACATCCTGCTGACTGAGCTCGGTAAGGTCAAATTGGCCGACTTTGGCTCCGCCTCCATCGCCTCACCTGCCAACTCCTTCGTGGGAACACCTTACTGGTTAGTTTGAAATGAAGTTAAGTTCTGAGAATGAAGTGCGAAGTGTAGCGAACACCTGAGCTGCAACTACAGCTTACTTGCGAAGTTTGAATAATTTGTTATGGTCTTGTCACAGTCCATATAGGCAGGCCTGTACTTGTTTGATAAAATGTAACGTTTTATAACCCTACATTGTTGACGACGTCTCCTAGAACTTTATCAGACTGACATATATTCTGTAGATTCACCACATACTTGCTAAACTTCCTGCCCGTGTCTTGTGGTTTTGTCCTCAGGATGGCCCCAGAAGTGATCCTAGCCATGGACGAGGGTCAATACGAGGGAAAAGTGGACATCTGGTCCCTGGGCATCACCTGTATTGAACTTGGTGAGCCTTGATCTTCTTGTTGTTTAAAGGATACCTATACGTTTAGCATAGCATAGAGCAAACAAGTTACCACCAAAGCAATAGATAAAGGAAAGACAATGAAGAACCGTCCGTCCGCTGCCCTCTTTGTCAACCTGTGTCTCTGACTTCTTGCCTTATTCCAGCGGAGCGTAAACCGCCCTTGTTTAACATGAACGCCATGAGTGCCTTATATCACATCGCCCAGAACAATTCTCCCACACTGCAGTCAAATGAGTGGTGAGTTGAACCCACGAATATTACTCCTATGGTATGTCTGAAGATTTTGACGGGGTACTGATCGGGATCAGTCAGTGCAGAACAGGGGGTGTCGCGTACACCCTGATTAGATGTCAAGTGGGCCGGACCAGTACACTCATAACATAATTGCTTATAAATAACAATAAGTCCATGTATTCCCCCCTTAGTTTCCATGCGAAGAAGTGGAAATATATAAGAAAATATTAATTTAATGAAATATGATTTTACAAAAC